TTTGTTTTTGTTTGTTTTTTTGAGCAAAACTCTCTGGGCAACAGAGGCAGAGGGGGCATTGAGCCCTGGTGCGCCAAGGTGAGAACCGCCTGGGGGGACCTTGAGCCAGGTGGTTGGGTCTGTGCGGCTCCCTGGGGCACAAACACGTTCCTGGCCTGGGGCGTGGCACGCAGAGGGGCCCACTTCCTGGGGATCTGCCCTGGGAAGGATGGTTCTGGGGCAGCCAGCAGCAGTCCGCAGAGCCCCGGGCCTCACTGGCACCCCTCCCGAGGCTTGTCCTGCAGGGCGCTCAGGAGAGAAACCAGCAGTGTGGGATTCGCTTTCTGTGCAGTCGAGCCCGTGAGCAGAGCGCTGCCTTACACACAGCCCTCCGCCAGGCTCAGGCCAACCTGTCCCAGTCGCCCGACTCCCCGGCCCCCGCCCCCCCGTGCGCATGCCTGCACATACGCCAGGGTGCGCACGCGTGAGTGCCGCACACATGCTCGCAGGCTGCCTGCGCCCCGACCCACACCCCGGCCTCGCCATTGGTATTGGTGCCAGTACTCTGAAGGCCGGGATGCAGACTGGCCTGTCTCGGACTTAACACGTGCTCTCATTTGACGTACTCTGGCTGGTTTTTGTTCGTTTTTACTGTATATTTATAGTAATAAAATCATGCAGCAATATCTCGTCCATTCCTTCCTCTGCGCATAGCACCGAGGGACCTCCGCTGTCTCCCGGTCTGGAGACAGGACAGCTGAGGGGCTCGTGGCCGCTCACAAGCCCCAGCAGCGCGAGCCGGGGCTCGCCGCAGCCTCCGTTTCCTCGTGTGTGAGGTGTCTGTGACACAGGACTTTAAGAGGGGTGAGGGTGTAGGAGATGGTGTGTGAGGCACGGGGGATCCTGTTGATGACAGCTCCGGTCGTCGTGCCGATTCTGGGTTGGAGCGGGGCCCGTTACGAGCAGTGGAGGAGGAGCCGGCACGTCCAGGTGTGCAGGTCGCTGCTGCAGGTGCCGTCAGTATCGCTGATCCATCCCGGATACTCGGCACCTCCCTGTGTGCTGGGCTGGAGAGGGCCAAGACACGCGAGGTTCAGGCTCCTGGGAGTTAGTGTTCTAGGCCATGAGGCCCTGCGCGGTTTTGGTTACTGTTGGGAAGAGCGTCGGCTGGTGGTGACAGGATGGAGTCGCATGGGGTCCTTGATTTAACCTGTGGTTGAGGAGGGCTTCTCTGAGGAGGAATTTTGGCTGAGCAGTGCAGGATGGGAAAGAGCTGGTCCTGGAAGAGAGCCCAGGCAGCCAGCACAGCAAGTGCAAAGGCCCTGTGGCCAGAGTGAGCCTGGTGTGACCACTGAGCAGAAAGAAGCCCGAAGTGTCTCCAGTTGCTGGAGTGTCAGATTCGAGGAGTGTCGGGGTGCAGATGCTACAGGACCTCATAGGGACAGCAAGAGTTTTATTCTGAGAGCAGTCAGAGGCTTTTCCACAGGCAGCAACTCTCTCCAGCTGTCACGTGGGATGGATTAGAGGGCCAGCTGTGGCTGCCAGCTTCCCTGCCCAGCAAGCGGCCTCCCAGGAGGGAGAGGCTGTGGTGGCCTGGAACACCCATGAAGCACAGCCACCACACCGCCACCCGCCAGCAGCTCCTTTGCAAACGTGGTTCCAAGCTGCCTCCCCAGGTCCCCTCTTTGACTCGGGCGCTTAATGGTGGAACCAGTGTTCTCAGCCATCTAGTCCATGCCCCAGGGAAGGCCTGTCACCCTCGGCCCTGCAGCTGCTTGGTCGTGTTTCGGGCGACGTCTGGGTCGGACGTCTCGCGAGGGGGTGCACTGGATGTCCCTCCACTTTCCGCCAACAGACGAGGAACTTTGTTAACATCTTGTTTCAGGGAGGGGTTGGGGCGTGGGGCACCTTTCCTCTGTGCCCCCTGCCAGCCCTGGGTTTGGGTTGTGCACTGTGGCCTGGAGACACGGTCCTCTCTGGAGGGCCCTTCCCCTCACCAACATCTCTTCAGACACGGTCACTTGCCTTAGGGATCTGGCTTCTCCAACTGTGGTGGCCCGTTTGAATCCTGGTAGAGGCCACGGATGGGGAGAGAGAGAGCCTCCCTCTTTAGATCCTTACTCCCCTGTGTGTGACACGATACCGGCACCACCCGACGTGTGAATGAGCTCCCAGTGGGTCCTTACCAACACTTGCCTGCCCTCTGACCCCGCTGTCTTCTGCTCAGGGCAACCTTCTGTGCCCCAGAGCTTGCCCTGGCTCACTGCATGGTGAGTGCACATGGTGGTTCCTTCACTCAGCAAATCTGTACCCATCGTGGGAGGAAAACGGAGTGTGGGCCAACTAGTGGTCGAGTGGCATCGTTGCTCTCCCCTGGACAATGTTCCCCATGCTCCTGAGCCCCAGCGATGATTCCCTTCAGCAGCAGACACAGGTATGTACCTCAGGGCCTCTTCCGTGAAAGTTGGGAGGTTTTCTGTTGTGGACACTGGTCAGGAGACAGGGTGGAAGTCTGGGGTGAGATCCTGGCTCTGGCACCAGCTGCTGGGTGCCCTTAAGGCCAGTCCTGTTCCTCTCTGCCCCAGGTTCCTCCTTGGTAAATTGGGGAGAGCCCATTTCCTCCAACCGTCCCTGGCATATGGTGTCTGACTGGGAGGATGCTTGGCAGGCTGCGCCAGGAGGGATTTAAGGTACTTCCCAGCACGCTGGCTGAGTAGCAGCCCCAGGGCTGTGGGTGGACACGGACGGTGGGGGCAGCTCGAACTATGCCAGGCCCGGCTTTCCTTGCTCTTCTGGAGTCAACCAGCAGTGACCTTGGACCGGAGTGCTTGGCTGGCGCGCGTGCAGGGAAAGGTCTTGCCCACTGGTCGCCAGCCTCCCGTAAGCCCTCCTGGGGGAGTCGCCTGCAGGGAGCGAGAGACGAGAGCTGGTAGTGGGCAGCCTGCGGGGCGGCGCCCCCAGGGAGGCGCTGGGGGAAGGCCCGGGGCTCGGCGGCTCCTGCTAGTGACGGGCAGTCGGAGCCCCAGCCCTGCAGGCAGCGCTTGCCCGAGGCCCCCCACGACAGCGCTCGGCTCGGCTGGGCTCGGCTGGGCTCGGCTGAGCTCGACTGAACTCGGCTGAGCTCGCTTGGCGCGGAGCCCCCTGGGCGTCGTGGTTCTCGGGGCCGGTGGGCGGGAGCGCGTGCCGGCCCTGCCTCTGCACACGCCCCTTCCGCACCTCAACGACGCGTCGGGGCGCCGGGAGGGGCTCGGCCCCGACGGGCATCAGCAATTGGTGGAGGGGCGGGGCCCAGGGACGCGACTGCCTGCGGATTGGCCAGACCTGGCGGGGGCGGGCCCGCGCATGCACTTAAGGAGAGGCGCCCCAGTCGAGCCGGGGTAGTGCCAAGATGTCGGCGGCAGTGCCGGAGCTGAAGCAGATCAGCCGTGTGGAAGCTATGCGCCTGGGGCCGGGCTGGAGCCACTCGTGCCACGCCATGCTGTACGCCGCCAACCCCGGGCAGCTTTTCGGCCGCATCCCTATGCGCTTCTCGGTGCTGGTGAGGACGCGGGTGGACGGGCGGGGATCAGGGCGCCGCTCGCACCCCGCGCCCGTGACCCGGCGCTCCCTTGCAGATGCAGATGCGCTTCGACGGGCTGCTGGGTTTCCCCGGGGGCTTCGTGGACCGGCGCTTTTGGTCTCTGGAGGACGGTCTGAACCGGGTGCTGGGCCTGGGCCTGGGCTGCCTGCGCCTCACGGAGGCCGACTACCTGAGCTCGCACCTGACCGAGGGCCCGCACCGCGTCGTGGCGCACCTGTACGCACGGCAGCTGACGCTGGAGCAGCTGCACGCCGTGGAAATCAGCGCGGTGCATTCGCGCGACCACGGCCTGGAGGTGGGGCCGCCGCCCGGGCCCCGCCCCCCGCCCCGGGGTTTGGCTCTGGCCCCGTGGAAGGCACCGATGGGTAACACGTCCCCCTGAGGGTCCCCTGGCCGGGCTGGGTGGGGTGTCGCTGTTTCCAGCATCAGGGTGGGGAGAGGGACCTGGGGGCAGGGGTGGGAGAGGGGGGCCCGGGGTTCCCTCGGGGCTGTGTTCCATCTGCCTTGCTGCCTGCCATTGCCAATCCTGGGAGTGGGGAGTGGGATTGGTGGGGGGATGGGAGAGGGTGGTGGCTCCTGGGGAGGTGGGAAACTAGGGCTGCGTTCAAGGGCCGGGACCTCATGGTTGGGGTGATGAAGGCTCTTAACGGTTTGTGGGTTTTATTTATAGTCTGGAGAACTGGGAGTCACACTTGGGGTGTTTGGGATTCACGAGTGGAAGAGGGAGCATGGGGTGTGAACTGGGGGGGCTTCCTGCCAGCGGATGGGGGCTGGAATTAGAGGACGCAGAGGGTGGAAGATGCATGGGGACAGCTTGCTTGGGGAGTAAAGGGGCTGCACTGCTCCAAGGGTGCCACTGGCTTGCGCCTCACTGGACCCCGCCTGGGTCTCCCATTACGTCCTTCGCAACCTGGCTGGCCTTGTCCTGGCCTGGCAGCTCACAGGCCCCTCCTGCTAGGGCTGCACCGTTGGCGTGGGGCCTGGTCCCACTCTGGTGTCCTCTCCATGCAGGTGCTGGGGCTTGTGCGGGTTCCACTTTACACCCAAAAGGACCGAGTCGGTGGTTTTCCCAACTTCCTGAGCAACGCCTTTACCAGCACTGCCAAGTACCAGCTGCTCTTCGCCCTCAAGGTGCTCAACATGATGCCCGAGGAGAAGCTGGCTGAGGCTTTGGCTGCTGCCACAGAGAAGCAGAAGAAAGCCCTGGAAAAGCTCCTCCCATCTTCCTCCTGAGGTTGATTCTATGCTGCCTGTCTCCTGCCCTCCCCTGGCCCTATCTGTGCCCTGAACTCTTGGGGGAATGACTGCATGGGGTGAGGGGGCATCTTGTCCTCTCCACCACCCCACCACCCGGAACAGCTACTGGGTGGTGGCCAGGTTAGTGGGAGCCCAGCCCACCCCGATCAGGAGGTGGCTTGTTTGCACTGGACCTGGCTCTCCAGGCTCAGGACATTCTCTCCTACCCCAAGGCTCTAACCCTCCTCCACATGAGACACACGGGCTGGTGGAGGGACCACCCAGTTACCCAGGTGGGTAGGCGCACACACACCCTTAAATCCGTTTATTCTTGTGGAGGGATGCCTCTGAGTCCTGTCACCAGCCAGCCCCAGGGCCTAGAGAAGAGCTGGCCCAGTACTGTGAACTTTGGTGGCGGTCATTAGCTTTGTTTTCTGAGGTGTGTCAACTGAGCGGTGAGGCTTCAAAGCCCCTTTACCCCATTGGGGCCCGGTCCCCCAGGTCAGTTGGGGCCACGAAGCCCAGCTGTAGATGGAGTTGGTGAAAGAAAGCAAAGTCTGGTCTTGGCTGCTCTCTGTGTCCTCTGGTTCTGGCCACAGGCCCAGGGCTGGGTGCATGAGGGGTCCCCCTTCCCCACCGCCCACGGACTTCAGGGTGGGAGCCAGGCCTGAGTGCTGGGCTCCATTCAGCATGGAGCTGATGATCTAGGTCTCCCGTCCCTCTGGTCACTGTGGCACTGCTCCCTCAGACCTTGCTGGGCCCTGTGCCTGGTCTGGGGTTCCTGGCTACACCTGGGCTGAGCTCGCTGCCCTTTCCTTGGCTTTGAAAGCCTCCCTTTCTCCATTCCCATCACAGTCCACAGGCCGTTCCAGGACCTGGTATGGAAGCACTGGCTGAGTGTGCAGAATGACAACAGCAGAGGCACCACAGATGGGAAGGTCACCACTGGCCGTCTCCTACAGCCCTATGTCTGCAAAGACTCCTCAGTGAAGCTAAACCAGTTTGCACGGCACCTGCTTGGCCTGGTAAGGAGAGCTGTGCTCTGGCCCAGCCTGAGCGTCTGTTCCACCTTAAAGCCTCAGTGAAGCGGTCAGCACGTGTGGGCAAAGGCACTTCGTTCTGTAAATAAAATACCTGTACCTCGTTCCTCTCTCATTTCCTGGGGGCACCGGGGCCAAGCGCGCGTCACCCTTCAGATTGCTCTGGTGGAACCGAGGGGGCTCTGAGTGCACGTAGCTCTAGCCCCAGGGGAGGGACAGAACAGGAGAGGGCAACCAGTCCGCCCTGGTCTGAGCGTGGTGGTCTCTGTCCTGGCAGAGGGGGCTGGGTCCCAGTGAGTTGCTGAAGGGGGGAGGGTTGCCCCTTGCTTTGGTTTGTCAGCCAGTACTGCATGTCGCATGACCAGAACAGAGTCCCTCACCAGCAGATCTTAAATTTTATTTTCCAGCAATGACATCCGCTACCCAGGCGCCCGGTCCTTTCAGTGTGGCGCCTGTGGTGTATGGGGGCCCGCTGTCTCCCCATGGCCCTGCCTGCTCTGGGCCTGGCCCCCCGCTTCTGGGCGAGAGGCCCTCGTCCTGCCTCTGCGTGGGCCTCTGCCCTGTCCTGCCTCTGCCAGCTGCTCCGGGGGCCTGATCCTCTGGCCCCCGCTCGGGCCCGGCCTGCTGCAGCCGCTTGCTCACTGCCCTCCTGTCTTCCAGGCACACAGCTTCAGGGTGGATCAGTCACCCAACGTCAGATTCTGAGAAGGGACAGGGAAGACTGAAGTGGGCACTCGCTGCTGCCCGGTACACCCTGCTCTCCGGCCTGGGTCCTGGGCTGGCGGACACTCACCGTCCCTCCCAGCTAAGGCTCCCGCCAGTTCTCCTTCCCGTTCAGCACTTGCAGCTTCTCCAAGCTCTGGGTCACTGAGCATAGCACTCGCCCTGAGGATGGGAGCAGTTAGTTGCTGCTTCATGAGTGTGGGAGGGTGGGGGAGGTGCCTAGGAATGCATGACCTTGTGGACAGTGGGCTATGGTAGGGCTGTCTTGGGGGTCTGAGCTGACTAGGATTCCCCGTTTACCCACTTCTGGCCCCAGGATGGGGATGAGGCCACCGGCTGTCGGACACTTTGGGAGACTCACCCATTTCCTGGACTCGATCCTCCAGTGCTCCGGAAAGCTCGGGGAGGCTCAGAGCCTGCAGGGAAGCCTGCCAGCCTTTGGAATCTGTGGGGCAGAGAGCCAGGTGGGCCTAGGGCTTGTGTGGTCACCACAGGCCCCGCAGCTTTGTCCTGGGCTGCTGACACCAGGGGACCCACCCACTGTCAGTACCTGCTTGACACTGTTCTATCAAAATGTGTTCGCCTGCTTATTTTTCCAAAGCACTGACTGGAGGGTCAATCAGGGTGCAGCCCCAGGAATGAAAGTGTGAGGGTCCCTGGCTGACAGTCAGGCTTGACCCTGGGTAGCTCCGACTGCAGGCTGAAGAAGTCACAACATTGTGGAGGACGTTAAGTCCCACCCCAGGGAGGCACGGTAAGGAAATGGGCAGGGATAGGAAGCCCTCACCCTGGATCTCTTGCAGGGAGGGAATGGGAGGGTCAGTGTGGTAACTGCTGGAACGGGTGGTAAAACCTGGCCTGGGGCAGCATCCATGCGACCCGGGACCAGGACAGCGTTCTTACCAGCCGTGGGGAGGGCCGGGCCCTGGGGGAGCCCTCGGGTGGACTCTTCCTGCTTCACTCTGGCTGACAACTCGGCTTGACAAGCTCTGCCAGACACAAGGCCAAGTGCTGGTGAGGGGGAGGGTGTCCTCCCTGGCCCCAGCAGGGCAGCACGTACCCCCACCTCCCTGAGTGGCCAGTGGGGCTCTGCCTTCAGGGCAAGCACACCAGGCACCTTCGGGGACAAGCCCTGAGGGCCCGAGCGCTTCGTTGCAGATGCTTGGGGCCCCATTTGCTGCCTGGGTCTGCACTGCGGAAAGGAACAGCCACAATGAAACGGATGATGGTGGCGAGTACTCCAAGAGGCCTTTAAGAACAACCACCTGGTTGAAGAATCTGGAGGAATCGGCGACTCAGGGTCTGGCCTGGGAGCAGCTCAGATGCCCACTCACCGCAGCTGATCCAAGACGAGCGCAGCGTCCCGGGCCAGGGCCCAGGTCTCCTGCAGCTGGGCGTGCACGTCCTTCCGGGCACCGTCCTGCTCCAGGAGGCAGCTCTCCACCACCGCCCGCAGCTCCTGTTCCTGCGACACCTGGCCTCGCATGGCCTCCACCTCCTCACAGCGCTGCAGACGGAGAGGCGGGGAGGGGGGGTGGCAAATGACCAGGGCCGCTCAGGCTGGGTCCCCCTCAACCTCTCTGTGCCATACCCACTCGCTCTCAACTCCCACTCTTCTGGGCTGGAGGAAGGGAGCGCCTGTCTCCACCTTGGAGCACCCCCTGCTTTGGATCCCTACTCTTAAGCCCAGTGACATCCATGCCAGCTGCTTGTGCTCTGACCTCACCCTTTCTCTCCTGTGTCCAGCTGACCTCCTGTCCAACGTCCCCTGCCTTTCTGAGCCGTCTTCCTGGAGGCCTGCCTGTGCATCTCCAGATTTACACACAAGCAGTAATGCTTTCTGTCCCACCGCCCACCCTGGCTGCTTCTCCCTGCTCCCCCTGGGTATTTGTCCCCACCACTCGGTCTCCACAAATTGTCGTCCCTCACTGCAGGTGGGTATCCAGGTCCCTGCCCCGCTCACCACATACTTTGTGCAGCTGGATGGCCAGCTCCTGCATCTCAGCTTCTAGCCGGTCGGCATACGCCAGCTCCAGAGCATCGCTGGGTGGCCGGGCACTGCTGTGCCAGCGGGCAATGGCAGAGGTCATCTTCCTCTTAGGCCCAAACAAGCTGCAAGGGTGAATGAGAGAATGAGGATCTGCTGTGTGTGGAGTTGCCACGGAGGCCAGCCTTCCACCAAGACAGCCCCCTAGGAAAGATTCCAATTTTGGAAGGGCACAGTGGTCCCGGATCCTGGGACAGATGACAGAAACAAAGGGTCTTAAGAAGTGACCACAGCAGGGGCTGGCCTACCCTGCCTGTTTCCTTCCCCAGCCTGGCTGCTGCTCTCCCTGAACAGGGAGCTCAGGCTGGCCGGGGCTAGGCTATGACTGGCCTCCTAACAATCGGGAAGCTCTCCAAAGTGAATGGTAGAAAACGTCTGGGTGCCCTTATCACAGCACTGGCAGCCAGGCCAGCCGGGGGAACAGACCCAGGCCTTCGGCACCTCAGCTAGCTGCAGCCGGAAGACCAGAGAGAGGACAGCTGGCTGCAGAGAGCAAGGGGACGCCCAGACAGGACAGGTGGTTCCATCGGAGCGTTGGGCAGTTGGGAGCTAAGCGACCCCCTCATGTTTGGCTGAAGCGAGGGGGGCGTGGCCACAGAGGCCCCTCTGCACTCACGTGATGCCGATTTCCTTCAGGTCGCTCTCGGTGAGGGTCAGGAAAATGCGGAGGTCCACGTCCTGCTCCTCAAACACCTGCAGGTACTTGAGACACCCAATCTGCTCCAGCAGTGTGGCGAGGTCCTGGAGAGCAAAGGAGCCGGGGTGGGTCAGAGGATGGGCGGGCCACCAAGACACAGGGGCCAGAGAAGACACTGCTTTGGTGCAGATCCTGTCACTGCATCCACCTAAGCCGGGTCAGCCCTGTGGACCCCCCCAAGTTCTGCGGTGGGTCACCTCTGACTACAGCCCCCTCCTCTCTGCAGCCTCAGGCAGAGCAGGTGGTCCAGAGATACTTCCCACTTGCCTGTGTCCCTGCAGCCAGTGTCCTTTCATTACAGCCTGGACACCGTTCGTGTTCACATAGGGCAGGTCTGCAGGCAACAAACTCTTAAGTCTTTTTTTTTTACCTGCGGCCTTCTTAATTTCTCCTTCACTCCTGAAGGACAGTTTCTGCTTGGCTATAGCATTCTTGGTTGGTTTGTTTCTTCCATTAATCTGACTCTGTCATCAAATGCCCTCTAGACCCCATGGTTTCTAATGGGAAATTAGCAGTTAATCTCATGGGGGTTCCTTGTATAAAGATTCCCTTCTCTCACTCCCTTCAAGATTCTTTTGGTTTTGGACTAATTATGATAGATCTAGGCGTAGATCTGAGTCTAACCTACTTAAGAGTTCACACAGCTTCTTGGATGTGCAGATTCATGTTTCTGATCAAATCTGGGAAGGCTTGGCTGTTTTGAAACATTTTTTTATGCTCTCGACCTCATTCTGGAACCCCATTATGTGTACGCTGGCTGCTTGATGGTGTCTCCTAGGTTTCTGTCCATCCTTTCCTCTCTTCTCTGACACGATAATCTCAATGGATCTAGATCATGCTTGTGGGTCCTTCTGTGCACTCCAATCTGCTCTTGAGCCCTCTCTTGGAGCTTTCATTTCAGTGATTCTACTTTCCATCTACAGATTTTCTGTTTTTATTTCTATCATTTTGTTGATATTCTCTAGATACGGTTCCCTTTAGCTCACTGAACATATTTTAAGAAGCTGATCTAAAGTATTTGTCTTGGGGTGCCTGGTGGCTCAGTCGGTTAGGCATCCAATTCCTGGTTTCAGCTCAGGTCATCACTGCACGGTTTGAGAGATCTGTGTTTTTGAGCCCTGCGTCAGGCTCTGCCCTGACAGTGCGGAGCAGGCTTAGATTTCTCTCTCTCTGCCCCTCCCTGGCTCTCACACGCATGCTCACTCTCAAAATAGAGAATGAAACCTTGAAAGAGCCCAGCTTCATTTTGCCCCCTGTGGTGGCTGTCACAGCTACCTTGGTACTGGGGGTGAGGATGGGAACAGGGCAGGTTAAAGCGCTACAAAGCTTTCCGTTCTTCCGGACAGTCGGCCACTTCTCGCGAATAAAAATGTTCAAGTTGCTCAAAGCCTTTGGTTGATTCGGTTTTGCTACTCTGACTACTTCTGCCAGTTTTTTGTTGCCTTTAATGGAGGAGTAAATTTTCAAATGTTGTCACTCTGCCAATTTCTTCAACCTACTTTCTAAAACATCCTTAAGAACCTATCACCCACTCTCCCATCAAGACGCGTTTAAGAAACTGAAAGGTGTAGCCCCTCGGTGAGCCTGGGAACACAGGCGCTGGAGACGGCTCCCGGGAGGCGTCACAAGGAGAAGCCAACAAGATCACCAGCTTGTAGTGAACAGCAGAGCTGTGATGTGAACAAATGGCAAAAAATGCATTCTTTCATCTTTGTACCGCTTATGCTCCCAGAAAGCAAGAGAACCCGATGAACAGACGTGGGCGGCTGTGCCATACCAGTAACCCCTAAGAAGCTGGGTGAGCCACAGCAACCCACGAGGGAGGCAGAGATGGCAGTTTTCACCAAATGCCATTTCATCTCCGCTTCACGTGCATCTCCTGACTCCCGACAGCAGCTCTAGATCAGTCCATTTTTTCTCCTCTCCAGGCTCAGGGAGGCCGAGGAGAGTACGGAAACCAAGGAGAGAGACAGATCCCTCCTATGGAAAGGGATGGAACAGAAACCCTGCACTGGCACTCGTGGCCATGAGGAATCCTCTCGGCCTGAGCAGCCTCACAGATCATCTGGGGGAAACCATCTCCACACTCTCTCTCGACGGGGCCCAGCCCATCCTCAGTGCACAGTAAGGGCCTTGTGAAACACTACACGTGCCACGTTTCTAACTGCGTGACTGCCAGTTTCACAGCCGATCTCACCTGGGGTCCTGAACAGAGGGACCTCTCCGTCTGGGAAACGGATCCTGGGGAGCAGGCTGCACCAGCCGGCCCAGTGCTGGCGGGCCACTGGCCGTCACTGTTGCTGTAACGATTCTTGGTCTTCATGTAACTTTTAGTTTGCTTGCGAACCGAGCTTTGACACGCATGATCCGAATCCTGTGGTGAGAAGGGTGTGTCCAGAGTTAACACCGAGGGCTCCCGGCTGACGTGGCCGCATCCACTCTACTCTCTGCCCCACGATCCCAGTTGTGAAACGCCCCCAGCAGCCAGAGAGGCTTCACTGGTGACCCGCACCATGGTCTGCATGGCCCAGATCCATGGAGGCCAGCCAGGACTTTGCGTGTCTGACGTGCACAAAGTACCAGTCTCTAGACTCGCCCTCTCCAAGGAGGCAGCCCCTGCAACACCAGCAAAGGGGAGGGAGGCAGATCAAGAAAGGAGAAGCTTCACCTCGTTGCTCTCCAGAGAGGCCTCGCTGCTGACTCCTGGGGCTCTCGCCAGGCCCTCGCTGCTGCTGCTGCGCCTCGCGACCCCCAGGTTGGCACAGAAGGCGTGCTCCTCTGAAAACAGTGAAGACGGGAGAGCCTGACCACAGGTCTCACTCGCGGGGACTCCCCAGAGCCCAGCGTCCACTGCATTCACCAGCTCCTGAAACAGCTCACTGGTGTCTTCTGTTTCATGCGGCTGCCTGGCCCAAGCCCTCGCACCTAACGTGACGGGGGGTTTGCCTATTTCGTTCACTGATAAAGCCAAGCATCTAGAACGGCGCTTGGCGCACTTGGCACACAGTAAACGGCTACTGAACAAACGACAGGTAACACAGCAGACGTTTCCCTGATGGCTCACCAGTCAAGGAGCTAACCTTGTCTGGGACAACTCCCCCAGACGCCACGTGGAGAGACACTGGGCCAGAAGCTGCACCCTACCTGTCCCCTGCCGGCTTCTGGGTCCTCACAAGAGCCAGGGCCCTTCTGTACCCTTCACCCCACCGTTCTCCACCAGCTGAACCCACCACAGTCCCATGCCCCCGGGGGGGGAGGGGGGGCAGCGCACAAGAGCTCCTAACTCCAAGTGAGCCCTCGGCCGGGGTGGGTGTATAGGGTGCACGTACCCCGACTGCTGCTGCTGCTGCTCTCCACATCCCGGTCATTGATTGGGGAGGTGACGTCCCTGTAACAGAGGCCGCCCGCCTCCAGGGGGTTCTCATCACTGCTGTTGAAGGTGACATAGCCCCGCAGAGGCACCTGCTCTGTGGACACGAGGGGGGGCCATAAGCCCACATGAGCACAAAAGAGACAAACTCAACCACCCGAGAGGACCTGCAGCATGGGGGAAGGGCCAGGATCCAGGCAAAAGCTGAAAGAAAATTCCTAGCTGGCCTTTCTCCCTCCCGTTCGCTCACCACAGTAACCTGGACACAACCATGCAGTCTGCAGGAGGGGAAACGAACTCTGAAGGTCTGGAGACCAATGTGTGTCCCCGGACAAGCGCATGTGGGTCAGGGCCGGCACCCGCTCCACCACACCGTGCTGTTGCTTTCCCAAGTGGACAAAGCAGGAAACGGACAGCTGTGTTTACAGATTCCTGAGCCAAAGGGAAACCACAGCACTAGCGGGAAATGTCATCTCACAGGCACCAGCCTTCACACTCCCTGTGACTTTCCAACACAGACATCCAGGGGCTCCTCCTTGGGTCGATCAACCCCAACCAGCAAGATCTGGCTGAGCAGGAAGGTGGCAGGCCCTGGGCTAAAAATTAACAGCAGTAACACCAAGTTACATAACCTCCGAGTGCATCTGCCAGGAAGAAAATGGGAGAAAAGACAATACAAACCAGAGGGTTTAATTCTGACTTTGCCCCTGCCTCTTCCCCAAAGAAAGTATACTTAATTGCAGAGAAGCGACTGGCTGGTGGCGACATGGGTAACTTACTTCCTTCTTTACACCTTTCTGAAGCGATCAAGATTTACAATCGGAAGGAAGGGAGGGAGGGAGGAAGGAAGATCAGCACATGCTATTTATCATTCAAAAGTGTTTTTTCAGGGCTCCTGGGTGGCTCAGTCAGGTAAGCCTCCCGACTCCTTATGTCAGCTCAGGTTGCAATCTTGCAGTTCTGGGACGGAACCTTGTGTCAGATTCTGCCCTGAGCCTGGAGCCTGCTTGGGATTCTCTTTCTGCCCCTCACCTGCTCGCTCGCTCTCTCTCTCTCTCTCTCTCTCAGAAAATAAGTAAATAAACATTTTTAAAGAAGTGTTTTTCCACTGCTGGTAAAAAGAATAATACGCACTTATAGAAAATTTAAAAAGCACAAAGTGTGGGCGCCTGGGTGGCTCAGTCGGTTAAGCGTCCGACTTGGGCTCAGGTCATGGTCTTGAGGTTCGTGAGTTCGAGCCCCGCGTCGGACTCTGCACTGACAGCTCAGAGCCTAGAGCCTGCTTTGGATTCTGTCTCCCTCTTTCTCTGCCCCTCCCCTGCTCACGCTCTGTCTCTGTCTCAAAAATAAACA